CAGTTTATACTGAACACAGCAACAGTCTGCAGGAAGACACCTGGCATTCTGACACCTACCTGAATGACTGCTGAATGCTTCAAGTGTGCATCAGTTATTTCTTCAAGTGGACCTGTGTTGTGGTCTATGTAGAGACACTTGGCTTGGCTTTTAGTGGAAAGGTTCAGACTTTGAGCAGTCCTGTACAACTCCTGCCTAAACCAGCCCAATGATGGGACTGTTAACCTGGCTGATATTATCCCAGGGAGTTTCAAGCAGCTGCTTCTGCTTTATGAGACATATAAATGCTTTACAAGACATAGAAGTTCCCAACAGATGCTGCTTTACATCTGCACAGGCAGCTCCTGCCTGCCTCCCAGCTGAGTTTGCTTACAGGCAGCTTGGCCCTACCAGCTGTGTGGTCACATCTGTACAGTTTTGTGCCCAGTAATAAACATTCCACTTCTGCAGTCTTGATGAGGTTTAGTGAGCCAGGAACCTCTGCACTACACAGGCACCCCAAACACTGCTTGCTGGCAGCTGAGACCCAGGCCTGAGCCCTGGAAGGATGTCTGTGGATGGCCATCAGCTCTCTTTACTGGCACAGAGAGGTAATTTCATGTGCTACGGTACCGATCAAGGCAAGAAAGAGGTGGACACTCTGACTTGCAAATACCTCATCTCCTTATCCTATAAAGTGAAATTCACTGGCCAATGTGAGGCAGACACAGCTCTCCAAGGACATTCTTAGAGGTAAAAATGCTGTGCTGGTCAGTTGTTGAACTTCTAAGCTGTTTATTCCTGTCCTTTCCTCATACCCCAAGTGAAATGTTTGCTGACACTGACCAGGAATTCATCTGTTGGCATGTTAATATGCATGTGTACGATCATCCAGTTGCTACAATTGCTCTGTGGGAATCTTGTTTTTAACCTCTGCTGCTCTCCAACACTAGCATGGGATAATGTATCATGTTCCCTAGTTGCCAGTGACACACAGGATGCAGGTAATAAATACAGCTGGTAATACATAAAGACAACAACAATCATAATTACAACTGATTTCCCTTTCACTGAAAAACATAATCTTCTAGCCTGCATAATTTCAGCCTCAGCTGTACAATGCATTAAAACAATCATGTACTTCCCCTTGCTAAATAGAATCCTGTTACTTTGCCTGAGAACATCTTTTGAATAGCTCAAAGGTTAGGTTTATTATAGGAACCTTAAATGAGTTCATACTCCAGCTCAGTTGCTATCAATCAGTGCACTTCCACCCAAATCAAGAGAGATCTGTCGGTTTGCATCACTCAGGTTGTGATTGCTGTATTTTGTGTGGGGAAATGTGTGTGTGCATCATCTTTTGAATTCAAGGTGCAGCAAGCAACTCCCTGCTAAGAAACCTGATCTTCCATGTTCCAGCTTCTCTTCTACATTATTTAAGTCACAACTGAAAGCACTCTGAGTCAGTAGAGGCTGCAAAAAATGGATGGGCTGCCATTCAATTTTCACTATTAAACCCCCCCATATTTTGGAAGGATTTTGCATTACAAATAGCTCCCCAGATCCCAAAGGAGCTACTCACTGTATAACATTACTCGACCTTACTGTTGTATATTCTGGCCCAGAATAACATCTCCCTGGTGAGCACAGGAGGGGCTTGGGAGCCTGAACTTCAGTGTTGTAGCCAAAAGTCACAGTGATGAGACGTTAAGGGCGTGCAAATTGGTATATTCCAAATTACAGCACTGATTGCTGAGAAAGTGTTGTTGCATCTCTGTTCTTCCCTCTCCCTGCCCACAGAATAGCAGCAGTAATACTGGAAATGGCAAGGAGCAGTCATGAATTAACACAAATTACAAAGTTTGTCAGCGTTTAAATTTCTTCAGCGGGTGGTGCTGAATAAGTACACCTTGGTCAGTGTCTGTAGAGGACACATGAAGGTCTGAAGCCACTCCTCTGGCTGTGGGGTTTCCAGCAGTGGTTCTTTCTCATGGACAGGACCAGGCATCCCTCAGAAAAGGCAGTGGAAATGGAAGGGAATGGAGGTGGAAGCTGTGTTTTGCACCCACACAGTAATTCTGAGCTTTACCCCTCAGAGTCTGTTTTGTAGCCACTGTAGTTCATTGTATCTTTCTTCCAAAACTGGGTGTAAAAGAAGCCCCACTATCACTGTTGTGGCCTTTGTATTTTTTAAATTAAAATATTTTATTTTCCTCTGGAGATAGTAGTGAATCGGTTGCTTTTTGAAGAGTATTTCTGTTACCTAGAGCCATATTCTGTCCTTAGTTATGGTCTGGATCTTTTCTGGACAGTGATTATATTTCCCACTGAACAGAAAGTTTCTTAGAGAGCAGCCAGGAAAGAATCCTCTTTGCCTCTTCAAACACACAGTGCTGGAGCTGCTACTGTAGCTTGTCATACATTACAATACTGTCAGCACTGGCTTTTCTCCCATCACAAGGGTTTTTGAAGCCAAGTCAAGGCAGAACCACTGAGCACTCAGAATCCTCCAGCATCCCCATCAGCACTTGGCAGCAGTCTGCTCCAAGAATGGAGCTCTGCCTCTCTGCCCAATTGAAGCGATGCCTGCCCACAACCTCTGTACACCAAGGAAGCATGACTCTTTGCTGTTATAGCACCAAATTTCCTACTGCTGCCTATTAACTCTTTTCTCTGCTGATGAGATCTACTGTTCAGCTTCAGTGTTTTTCTACTTAACCAGGCTTTTGTTCCTACCTTTCACAAGGAAGCTGTGTTCTGCAAGCCTGGAGTCAGCATAGCTCTCAACATTGTTATCGCTTCTGATTGCTGAGGGAGACTTGCAGGTCTCCTTGCGCCTGCTGGGGAGAGCTGCTGAAAGAAACCTCCTCAGGGTCTTTCACAGGATGACAGCCCCTCCCAGCATCCCAGCCCTGGTCTAGCAAGGCACCAGTGTGGAAGCTGAAACCTCAAAACCTGAATAGGATGAGTAATATGTAACTTGTGGAGAAGGCTGGAGCCGACGTGATTGTTCCAGAGCCAGCCTCTATTCTTAGAGGAGTGGTGAAAGTCATAACTTAAAAATAAGATCCAGTGCAGTGCTAGCAAAGAGTCATATATTCGTGGTATTCCTGTGAGTAAATCCGTCTCCCTCTGCATGAATTGGCTTGACTTCAAGCTCAGAAACACACCATCAATATGAGGCCCAGCTCTGGAGCATCCGAAGTGAATGGGAGAGAATGACACATGACACTTGCCACATCAGGTGCTCTCAGCAGAGTGAGCAGCTCCTTCCCTTCCTTCCTTCCAAACCCCATGCCTGTAGTTTATTCAGTATTACAGGTCAAATGAGAGGTTTTCAAGGGTCTCTGCAGGAATTAGTGTTGTGGTTTAACTAAGCACCATGCAGCTGCTTGCTCCCCCCTCTTCTAGTGAGGTGGAGAGGAGAATTGGGGGAAAAGAGTTAAGCTCATAATATAGTTAATATAAGAACAGTTTAATAATTACATAAAGTACAGTATAATACTAATAATAATGAAAAGGGAAATAACAAGAAGAGAGAGAAAAAGCTAAGCAGGAAGAAACCCCCTAAACTAACAAACAGCAGTGATGCACAATACAATTGCTCACCACCCTCTGACTGATACCCAGCCTGACCCAAGCAGCAATCAGCCCCTTCTGGGTGACTCCCCCCAGTTTATATACTGGGCATGATGTCTGTGGTATGGAATACGCCCTTGGCTAGTTTGGGTCAGGTGTCCTGTCTCTGCTTCCTGCTGGCTTCTTGTGCCCCTCCTCATTGGCAGAGCATGAGACTGAAAAGTCTTTGATCAGGGTAAGTGCTACTGAGCAACAACTTAAACACTGGTGTTTTATCAGCATTGCATTGTTCTCAGACTGAAGCCAAAACACTGCACTGCATCAGCTACTAGGAAGAAAATTAACTCCATCCCAGCCAAAAGCAGGACAGCCAATACAACTGGTGAAATCCAATGTATACATTCCCCTTTTTGAAAATCCCCTGCAGGCACTTATTGCTGTTATGTTCTGGTGCCTGGTGGGGACTAGATGCTGCCTTTATACCATTCACAGCCATTTCTGGTTTGCATTTAGGTCACCTAATGCAGTGTTTTAGCTCAGAATCTCTAGATGTTTTAAGATACCCCCTTTCAGGGTCATGTATAGTAAACAAAGAGCCAATTTCAGGTTGTTTTGAGCAGGGATGGCCACAGATCCATGCTTATGGGTTAGAGCTAGGCTGAACTTGGGGGGGAGCATCTGATTCATAGTGATTTTATCAGGAGCAAACCCACAGAACTAGCTGCATTCAAATTCTGTTCACCTGCTGCTTCAGTGCTGTTTGCATTTTGAGGTTTCCCACAGAAACCTCACTCATTTTTCACAGCCACAACTGGATGTAGGGCACAGTCCTTTCCCATTTGGGACATGCAGAATTTTTCCAATAGCTTTAATTGAAAGGAGCTGAGACCTTAAAGTTTCCTCTTGCACTTAGGTCAATGTGAACTTTAGTTAGGGTCAGGCCAACAATTAAAACACTGGATCTCATAGTAACATGTCTCTGGAGCTGATCCGGTGGTTTTACACCGTGTAGCCCTCACCCATGAATTCAGCAGAGTGAAGTGAAGCGCGTGTGTGAGTTGCACTGCTGACAGGCTGGTTTATCCTCTGCAAAAGCCATCAGCAATCTGTGTCTCGTGGCCTGGCCGTAAGGTCTGAGTCGTGCCTGTTAACTCCGGAGGCTTACACTGCCCAGTGATGTCAGCGGGAGTCGTGCATGAGTAAGCAAGCTATTCTTTCCTCTAATGATATTTGATCTGGGTAGTGCATTTAAACTGTAAAGGAGTTTTACACAAGCTGCTACCAAAGCTCCACATCTCATTCTGAAGTTTCACACTACGGTTTTATGAGGGAAAGAGCTACATCTGAGAAACAGTCAGGAGATAAAAGAAGGCAGAAGTTAAAGCAGTCAAGAGGGTGTGTAACGAACATTAATAATTCAGATAAAAGACAGAACAACCTGGTGAAGATTTCACAGTTTATTGTTATTAAAATTTCATTATGAAATTGGCACAACACGTCAGAATAGATCTGTGGTGAGTGATACATACTACTGTTATTGCCCAGTCATTTTGTGCACATCCCCACTTTTTAAAATCAGAAGGTGATGAATATAAGACATTTCACCAGCTAACTGCGAAACTGCTGTGCTTTCTGTTGACTCTATCAAATGGATAATGCAGACAGAAATAGTCCTCTGTTCATACTTAAAAATAATCTCAGTTTTAGAGTATGCCCCAGCTGAAAATAACTGGAGATGGAAAGCTCGAAATAACCCTTTTCTTAAGGACCTATTTCCAGGAAAGTCAATGGGATTTTTGCCATGGATTTTAAAAGCAGCAGGATGTAGTTATTTGTTGACAGACAGATGGAGAGGCCGTGCAACAGAAGCTAGGGAGGACCTGTGGCAAAGCAGGAGTTTATTATTTTGATCTTGCACATGCTGCTGAATCTCCTTGTTGTAGTAATTGTGTATGTTCATAACAGCAGTGATTGCTGGGAGGAGCTGGGAGGGTGTATCAAAGCCAGATAAAGCGTCTGCAGCTCATTTTTTCTCCCCGTTTGGGTTGGCTTTGGTTCTAACCCCACACACCACTCACGGCACAGTGACTTTTTCCTCTAAGCTTTCTGATCCACGTGAGAAAATCAGAACAATTCCCACGATTGCAGAAAATCTCGCCAGGTCACTCACTGTGCCTAGGCTGGTGTAGCTTTTCTTCCTCACATCTGTGCTTATCACACTGAGCATTTAGTGTTGCCCTCAGCCTGACTCTCGTTCCTCAGACTCATATCAGTTCCAGGGATGCTGGGAGGTTGCTTAGAGATGCCACCAACTGTGGTTCTGCAGTTACCTGCAGGGAAAGGTCACTGTAAGCAGCCTCAGTGCAGAAAGCAGAGCTGTAGGTTTCTGTGGGGAGCACTCCTCGTAGATGGGAAGCCAGATGAGCCCCACATCAGATATGCTGTGGGGAAAAAAATACCTTAGGAGCATGGCTGCTCCTAATTTTTCCTATGACTTTTAAAGAACCTCTTTTAAAGAAGGCGAGTAGGAACATGAACTCATTCATGCCTTCCAAACTCGTAAGCAACACTGGTTTTTGCTGTGTGTCCTCTTGTGGGTTGCAGAAGGTGGCAAATGCCCATCCCTGAGAAACTGTCATGCAGCTCCACAGCCTGTGTTCTTGGCTGGCTCTGAAATGCCCACTACCTCCCTCTGAGCTCATACTCCCTTAGGACTACAGCACATCATGCTACTACCAAGCTTGGGAGTGCCATGGCTACTCTGTTCTTGTTTCCTCCACTGTGAATACTTCTAAATCCCAGAAGATAAACATCTCAGTGCTGCTCCCTCACATTAAAATCTCAGGGCTTCAGTCTCAGCCTCACAGCAGGAGAGTGACAGGGGCGGAAAGCTGGCACAGCAGAATGGTGAATCAGGCTCTCCCTTTGGTTTTCAGGCTGTTTACTCAAAACAGCCCTTGAGAAAGATGCTATGCCTCAAGCAGATGTCACATTCAACCGGTTTAGCAATATTACGCCTATTTCTTCTCAAGCTAGTCAAGGAGGGGAGGAAGAATATAATGTATGTTAGTGCAAGTTCACATAGACAACATATGAATATTTAGCACAAAATGTTCTTTCAAGGTGGGGCAACCATTTCTAATTGTTGGTATTTTGTAACATTTTTAACAACTTGCCTGTGAAAAAGTGTTTCTGTGAAGTATGTTTAGACACAGGCTACCTCACATGACACTGAAGTATTTCAAGGCTCTTTCTGAGTAGGCAATAACCTCCCTCCCCCCTTTTTTTTATTAAATCAGCTTTATCACAGTCCATTCCAAACACAGCTCAAGAATTTGGTCAGGTTTTTTTGGTTGTTGCTTTTTCCTCTTTGGAAAAAATAAAGCTTTGCTGAGTTGAGTGATTCCACTCCACATGGATTTTAGCCGTTCAAGGCTTTTTTCATTTCAGAATGAGTTTTCCTCATTCCAAGGAAACCATGGAGATATACAGCTAATAAATTCTACCATAAGATTTCAGAAGTTGGTTCACACACTCACTTAGTCCTGAAGAACTGCAGCTTACAAGAAGCTCACAGACTACTTGTCCCGGCTGAAAAACATACTGCAAATCTGGCCCAATTTGGAAATGGTCTTATTTCAGGTCTAGTAGGGTTTATAGCCACAATATCTGAATAATTCCTGAACTGTGGACACAAAAAAAATCAGACATAAATTTTGCAGCACAGTCTCCCATCTTAAACATAAGATCATTGAATCCCAGACTGGTTTGGGTTGGAAGGGACCTTAAATCTCATCCAGTTCCAATCTGCTGCCACAGGCAGGGACACCTTCCACTAGACCAGGTTGTTCCAAACCACTTCCAGCCTGGCCTTAAGCACTGCCAGGGATGGGGCAGCCACAGCTTCTCTGGGCACCCTGTGCCAGTGCCTCAGCACCCTCACAGGGAAGAATTAACATTTGGATTTGGCTCAAGGTCCAACTGAACAGAAACAGGCCTCAGTTTCGTCTGGCTTACATTGCACATGGAAGTGTTCAGCAGTTGCTTCTGAACAGAATCAGCTAATATAAGTCAAGCATGCAGGGAACAGCCTTTGGTTACACAGACATTATCCTTCTTTCACTTGCCATAGCCTGGTACTACCCAAAAGAAATGTGAAAAGGCTTCCATACTGGTGTTAGACAGATAAATAGACATGGAAGCTTTAACTGTGACTTTCTGCCCTTTCCTGAGCTCTCAGCCAAACCACAACCTCTTCTTGCCTGGAAGCCTGGCTCAGAAACCACAATGGGGCAGAATCAGGTGGTGGGTGCTGCGGGTGGCAGAGTTATGCAAAGGCAAAACCAGAATCTGGTTCAAAAAGCATTTTCCCTAGACAGAAATCTACTGGAGAAGGAACAAATGGGAGTGCCCAACACAGAGAGTGGGAACAGAGGCAAGGCAGTATCCCTGAACCCTTGCTCCTGACAGAGACACCTCTAACAGTGGTGCGTTGAGTTCATCTCGGCATCCCTGGTGAAGGCACTGTGCTGTGCCAAGCCCATGCAAGGACAGCAAAAGTCTGAGGGCTGCGCTTACCTATGAGGAATCCCAAGTAGCTGAAAACTGAAGTCAGCCAAATTAATTGCGTTTTCTGGGGTACAGTAAAGGCATGGAGGGGATATCTCTACTGGTGTGCTGTCAGAGAGACAGATCCTGTTCGGTTTTGTGCTCCTGAAGGGTCATGGTGCTACTTACTCTTCCCCAGCCTCCTACTTCAGGCCCACTGGACTAGCAGGACAGCCCCAGGCGATGGCACTACATCAGCAAACCTGGCTTTACATCTGTAGTTGGAGTGAACGCTATGCAGGGAGGGTGTTAAATATCTCTCCAAACAGAATTCATCTTCTGCCTGCACCTGCTTTGGAACCATAGAGCATTTCCAAGCTGGAGACAAATCCAAACACCTTGTGTAGAAGCACCTTTCCCTTGGATTTTTATTATCATCATAATCATAATTTTTAAGAATATATCTTGTACCGAAACACTGTCAGCATTCTTTATACAATGGAAAAATGACGCAGTCATCACGTATCATGTAAAAGAGTAAAAACAGAGCAAGACAGGAACGTTTCTTATTCAATCTGGAGTACAAATAGGATCTGATGTACAACTTAAAAGCCACACATCAGATAAAAAGATCATCTGGAAAACAACAGGTTTTCAATTTGGAAAAAGGAAGGAAAAGTCAGGGAATGTCAATGTTAAGGCTAAAATTTGATTTTTAACTTGTATTTTATAGGCAGCAGCCTGATTCTTAGCTGCAGCAGCAACAACACCCCCCTGGCTTTGCAAAGAGATTTGCACTTGCATGAAATAAGAATCAGGCTTCTGTGCTCGGAGGACTCTGATTGACCTCAACAGGCTTTGGACTAGAGCCACAGTTGGAATTTCAGCTTGCAGTCTAAGGCTTCTTAACTGCAGGCCATATTAGCGCAAAATGAGGCTTTGCAACTGGCATGCTACCCTTAACTTTGGGTATTCCAGTTCTAGTTGCTTTAAACCACAGCTTTATTGCAGGTTTAACATAATTCTCTTTGTGAGATTCTTCTCTCTCTCTTTTTTTCTTTAAATACAGTCCTACAAAGGATGTTTTTGTATTCTGTGTCTTAGAAAGTCCCTATATTACATGTTTTCAAAATTGTCTAAATATACGTTTCTATCATGATTATAACTACTCAGAAAGACCAGTGACAGTCTGTTGTGAGCAGCCAAGGAAAAAAGTGTATTTAGTCCTAAAGAAGTCAAGAAAAGTGGCTGTGTTCATTTATAGTGTAGCGCAATGACTGCGTTTATACAGCTATACCTACTATTTAAAAAGCTACTTGAAAAGTTATTATTCATGTGCAGTAGCTGATTTTCAAGCATTAATAACTTGGCTGTCTAGACAAGTTTTAATTGTCATATCAAAGGCCAAATATGTTCTCAAACAAGTGCAGAAAATCTCCCATCTCCCTTGGAAAGAGGCTCATTCTCTTCCTCAACTAAGAGGCTGCCAAACTGAACTTTTTCTCAGGTTACACAAGCACGGTTCCAACTTCAAATTTGCTGGTTTTTCAAAGGATTGACTTGAACCCAAACCTATCCTGTGCAGCAAAGTTAGTAACCCCTGAAAAGCAGTTTTGAGTGAATATGCAAAAAGTTCCCCCCACCCCCACCAACTACCATGCCCACGTTTTCCCAGGGCCTAGAGGGCTCCATTAAAATGTAACTAAATGCTCGACAGGAAACAGGATTTTTCAAGAATGATATGTAAAGTTTACCCAAAGAACCTAAAAGACATTTTATACATTCAAAATGTTTACACTTTTGCTTGATTCTTAACCATCAGTAAGGTTGTTCATTTTTACTAATAATACATACAATGAGTATAAATAAATAAACTACAGATAAGCTTTAAAAACTGTATTAACAATACGTTGTGCAAAAACTCGTAACGTTCTACATTCTATGCAAATACCCTGACTAAAATACACAGGCAGTGTCCTCATACCCTCATTCCATTTTTGCACAGTCCTTGGGACAAGTCTGCTGCTGGCAGCCATCAGCAAAACTCCATGCAAGCCATGGAGGTGATGCTGGTTTAGACCAGCAGAAGAGCTGACGCCCAGGCATGTGCAAAAATCCCATAGAAATCAGTGGGAATTGTGCTTGACTAAGGACTAGACAGTTTGATTGTACCCAGTTAAAGTGAGTGGGAGTTTTGCCATTGATTTCCATGGAACCAGGCTCAGGCCCTGGGTAAGGACGTCAGCACGTGGCCCTATGTTGTGCTACACTACTCCACTTCAGTGCAGAAACAATATTTGCAAAAGAAAAACTTTCTGTTGTTGTCACTGCTGTTCAGTAACTGGTTTTAGCGCTGCGCTTGAGAAATTGCCTTTCTGTGAGATCTGAGACAAGAGTGCAAGTCTTTCTGAATCCATTCCAATTTGATTATCCAGTATAGGTAGGCTATTTTGATCCAAGAAAAACGGCTCAATGTCTATTAACCAACAGTGTTCTTCATTAGGATAAACAACAGCCCGGTTCATCGGCACAGGAGTGAAGAACTGCATGCGGAAAAGGAACGGGGCAGCCTTCCTACCATAGCTGTGTCCAGAGCCGGCTGTCACTTCTCCAAACGGATGATGGCACCTGAGCCGGTTTGGAATCTGCAGTCCTCACAAGCTCAGCCAAGTTTCGTAAGCTGAAGATCTCCATTTATCTTTATCGTATCAATTGCTGACAGTGTTTCAATACGGTGGTAAAAATCAAAGAGCTGATGTCCATCCACAAATATTCTAAAACGGGGATGCTCGCAAAGTATCTCAACCTGTGAAAAATAAAATGATGAAGCACGTTGTTCACAGTGTAACTGGGAAGCTATTTCACAGAATACAAAGGGCTCTCTGTTAGCCTTTAAGCAGTGCTGGTGCAGTTACGCCTTTTGCTAACTATGTGCCATGTAACTGCCAGGGCTGAGACCAGTTTGTCTCTGTGACACCAGTTACACTATGATAGATCTGCTCGTACTTCACAAGGAGATCAGAATCATAGAATGGTTTGTGTGGGAAGGAACCTTAAATCTCATCCAGTTCCAAGCCCCCACCACAGGCAGGGACACCTTCCACTAGAGCAGGTTGCTTCAAGCCCCGTCCAACCTGGCCTTGAACACTGCCAGGGATGGGGCAGCCACAGCTTCTCTGGGCAACCAGTGCCAGGGCCTCAGCATCTCATTGTGAAGAATTTCTTCTTAATGTCTAATCTAAATGGAACCCAGCCCCACTGGCATCAGGGAGGTTTTGCCTCTTAGAATAATGCCAGAAACTCAAACTGCTTATTACAGGGGGAAGAAACTGCATCTGTAACACAAATCTTGCATTCCTTGCTAGAGAATGTTTTTTTTTGCTGTGGAATGAGGGGGCAGTTCCCTCTGCAATGCTTTCCACGTTTATGTTAATTTACCAGAAGGGAGTGAACACGAGAATGGGGTAGCTTTGCCCTCCCCTCCAACACATACTCACAGAGCTGCTGTGAAACTAAAAAGCCTTCACTATTGTGGCTGCAGTCAGCCCAGGACTCCCTGTTGGAACAGACCATATTGGAGCTGCAGTGATGATGGATGGCTTGAATTCAACTAGACAGTTCGCATGAGACACAAAAAGGATCAGGGAGGGACACAGCTCATCCCTCCTCCCTAAAGCCCTGCAGAAATGCTCTGGAAAAGCAACAACGCCTGGAGCTGGACAAGCTTGGACAGGTTGGGAGATTCCTGATGTTAGGGGTGGCTTGAGAGGGTGCCCTGTAGTTAAGCTTTGCTGAAGGTGCCCCAGCAGGAAGCAGGGATATGAGCGCGCAGAACGTGCACTTCTCCTACAGGCCCTTGGAGACCTCCAGGTCCAGAGAGGTTAAGAAGAAAATCTGCAGCGAAACCACGTGTAAGTCCTGGGTCATTTCAAGAGGCCAGTAGCCTGGAGTGAAGTGCTGCTTCCAGGCACTTGACTCTGATGCTATTATAGCGTATAAAAATGAGAACAGGGCCAGTGACAAACTGTCTGAGCCAAAGGCCGACTGACTTAGGGCACATTGCACTAGGGGAAAAGGCAGCAGACGGTGCAGGAGAGCTTAAACTCCTGGGGACCCGGCAGCACACCATGTAGCAGAGAAACACCCGTCTCCTGTGTCACTGCAGCAGGCACATCCCGCCTTAGGCCTTGTTATGTAAAAGATATGGTTAGCCTCAACATTGCTTCTGATCCGTTTTTCCAGATCACCCTGGGCCACGCCAGAACGATAATTGGACTAGATCAGAAGTAATTGGCAAGAACACTTAGTCTCATTTATTCACAGAGAGGGAAACCATCAAAGGTACAAAGTCAATTGGGAGCCTAAATTCTATTTATGCAGTTGGGAAAAAAGGCGGAAATAAAAAAGAACAACTCCCTTGCCATAGTATCTCATGGCAAAGTGCAGTATTGCTGTCCTCCAATGTCAGCTGTCACTAGTTTTGGGGACACCCAAAACCCATGCTCTGGGTAATTTGTCTGCTTTGTCTGAGGGCCCAGCCACCACCTACTGCAGCAGGGTACGATAACCCTCTCAGCCAGAGCCAGGACCAAACCTCCAAGCTCTTTCAAGTGTACTTCCCACATGCACCAAAGGGTGTTGCCAGTTCTAATGGGAGAGTTTGTAGAAGCTAGTAGAGCGCAACCAATTTGCGGCAAAACCAGTCATAAGCACCCTCTCATCTTGGGGAGATGGTTAGCTTTTGGGGCTGGGGGAGATTATCCTGGGGGCAAGAAGGATTAAAAGGGTTTGGCAGCTTGTCAGAGCACTGGCATTTGGCAGAGGGGCCAGTGAGGTTTTGCAAGAGGGGTGGGGAGGAGGAAGAGGGTTTTTCTGGGTCAGCCACATGCAGAAGACACGCAGCCTTTCTTCTCAGTGTAGTGAAGCCGCTGAGAGAGAAGCGGCCCTCTGCAGCTGCATACTTTGTTAGTCCTGATTTGCAAAGACTTCTTCAAGAAACCATAAACACTACAGATGGGAATTTGCTTCTAGGTCAACCCAGTCCATCCACAGCACCACAGCATTTCCATGTACACTGTTTTCAAGTGGCTACAGGCTTAAATTTGACAGGAGATTTAATCCCAGGGTTCAGAAAAGAATACCACTATTGCTTAGCTGTTTAATCTGCTAACACGAAGGGCTACGGTTAACCTCAGTGCAACGCCCCTGGAGACAAAGGATGAACAAGCTCCTTACTAGCCGCACTAAACTGCAAACGCTGTCCATTAAGAGAACCATCAAAACATACAGCACTCTCAGAGAGTATTTACATTCTCCACTAATAACTTGTAATGCATTAATAATATAGAGGGACTTCTTAATTTACAGCTATAAAACTAAGCTGAGGAAGTGCACTCCATCACAAACAATTACAACCCGCGACTTGTCATAGCACCCTGGTGAGGTGTTCATAGCCCCATATGAACCGCCTGCAGCGGCACGCAGCACCAGGACCTCCACATAGCTTCTGGTGGATACAAACAACCCTGCGACTGGTGTCTCAACCACAGGTGTGAGCTACACTGTGATTTCACCAGAGGCAAGTCAGGTTCTGCTGCAAGACTGATCAAATTGCACTTTATCAGATACGGTGCATGCCGCTGTCATCCTGTACTCACCCTAAAAGGCTGGTCCGGTATAAAAGGAAAGTAAGGAATAGACGATTGCTCCTCTCCCCATTCTCCGGCTACACAAGAGTTTCTGACAAACTGCCTGTCTGTAAACACAGCTTTCAGTTCAATGGCTACATCTGCAGGAGGATCTTCCGACTCCCCACAAGTCAGACTGATGCCAAAGCTGCAACACAAACAGATCAGCTCTCATTCAGCCAGAAGCAAGGAAAGAAGCCCGAAATGCCGCCAGTCTCATTTCTCAGCTTATTAAAACCAGGATAGCGGCACAGGATGGGGCGGCTGCTCATTCAGGGAGTACTCCAAAAGCTCAGCAGGGACAAGAACATGGTTATAGCATACATATATGTGTGTGCATGTGTGCTGTGCATACATGTGTGTATATATGCACTTATATATGCTCTATATGCTCCTTCACTCCCAAGTGAAACGTAAGGAAACGGGATCCCTTAAAGAAATGCCCCCTCTATGGGTCAAAGGAGAAATCAGCAAGCTATATTTAAAATGATAAAAATAATCCCTTTCCAGAAAGGAGGGATCCGTGTGTATGTGTCTGTATTTGTGTGCCTGCGTGTGGGCTCCCCCCCGCCTCGTCCCCTCCCCGGGCCCAGCAGCCCTGCTCGGGTGTTACCTCTCGGGGTTGAGATCCACTATGCCCATAACTAAGATCTTCTTTCCCGGCCTCATTCCTCCTTTGATGTGCCCACAGAAGGGGACGATCTGGAAAGGACAGCGGGAAGGGTCAACTCTGCAGCAGCAGCGGCCGGGGGGTGGGAGTAAAGGGGTTCAAACCCACACAAAATCCCATATAACCCCCCAAATAAAGGTGCTTTACCAGGCGAGGGAAGTACACATCAGCTTGCACCGGGGATCCCAGCGAGTTGTTTAAATGCCCGTCCTCTATTTTCTGCAGGTAAAAAGGAGAGCGCTGAGCCAGGGACATGCGGAGCCCTTCCCGCTGCCGCCGCCCCGCCGGTGCCCACCGAGGGGGCCCTGCGCTGCCCTACCCGGTCCTTCCCGATCCCCCCCCAGCCCCGTCCCGGAGCCCCGCGGAGGGGCACAGCGGCACTCACCAGCGCGTCCCGCTCGGCCACGGTCCCCGCCATCTTGTGGAAGCGGCGGCGCCGGGGCCGGGGCGGAGGGGGACCGGCGGGGGCGGGGGGAGGGAGGGAAGGAGGACGGGGAGGGAGGCGGCGGTGCGGCACCCGCGGCGGCTGAGGGGCAGCGGCGGAGCCGGAGCGCGGCCGGTGCAGAAGTAGGAAGGCGAGGAGGAGGGGGAGGAGGAGGAAAGCGAGGAGGAGGAGGAGAAGGAGGAGGGGAGGTGGCCGGCTCTGCCTCGCCCGGCGGGGAGCCCAGCCCCTGGCCCGGGGGGAGCCGAGCCTACCCGGGCAGGGCGGGGGTTGCGGCCGCTTTCTGAGCTCCGCAGCCTGCCCTGCGGCGGGGCCCGCTTGGAAGTGCCGCGGGGCACGGCACGGAGCGGTCCTGAGGGGGTTGGTGGTGGGCCCGGTGTAGGGCCTAGCAGGGCCCGGGGACCCCTCCCGCGGGTCTGCGGGCGGTGTTTGCAGAGGGGCCACAAGAGTCCCGCGCCCCTTGTTTCAGGGTGAGCCTTTATTTCTGAGCAGGGGCTCCCCGGCCAAGGGGCCGAGGGTTAACTAACGAGGTGAATGCCCCATCGCTGGCAGTGCTCAAGGCCAGGTTGGTCGGGGCTTGGAGCAACCTGCTCTAGTGGAAGGTGTCCCTGCCTGTGGCAGGGGTTTGGAACTGGATGAGCTTTAAGGTGCCTTCCAACACAAACCATTCTATGAGTCTAACTAGCTTCTCCAGAAGTGGAGAGGTAGCTCCATCACTGTGCTTCCTGGTGTGGACCCTCGGGGGGTCTTTGGTGGGGACACATGTCCTGCTGGAGGGTGGCATGGCCGGTCACAGCGGGTGGATGCTGGAGCAGTGGCAGCCTCTTGGCCAAGCGAGGCAGCAGCTCCTTTGAAACCCTCCCCGCCAGCCTTGTAATGAGCCACAGTAATTGCATAAGTCGGGCGGCTGTCAATGCCTTGTTACAGAGCGGGAGCTCCTTATTTACATGCGGTGTCCGTAGTTATGCAACGTGGCGCTGTCTGTGGGTGTCCCGCTCTGCTGGGCAGCTCCAGCCGAGGCCACAAGCCCTGCTTGCGGCTGCTGTGCAATGCCAGGAATCCCTCGCCTTCACCACACCAGGAGTGGCTTGTCCTGGCAAGCATGCTGTGATGATCCTGTTGATGATGAGTTTAGGGTCGGGGGGGTTTGAAACTGAGGAAGGCTTTCTTCCTCACCGCTGGGTTTGGTGGCATGGACATCTCTTTAGTACCGTGACAGCGACTTGGCCTGCTTTCTGCGGGACCTCGAGTGGGGTGCTTGGCTTTTCGAGCCTCTTACTGTGCGTTGGGCTGGGTTGGTGAATGGCGCTGTCCTTCCTCCTCTGAGGCGCTGTGAGGATTAATTAAATTGGGTAAAGTGCAGTGGAGGAAGCTAAGTCACTGCAATATTTAGGGTTTCAGTATGATGGTGTGTGTCAGTTGGGAAATGCTTGCAATCAGTAGGTGATGCCATTTGAGAAATCAAGAGTAAATACAGATTGTGCAAGTGTTCACATGCTTGGTTACTTTTTCAGCAGTGCCCACTAATTTGGCGTTGTTTTCATCTCTGGATGCCCAGCTAGAGATGGCTCATAGAGGCTTCTGTTTGTGCATACAGCTCTGCCGGAAGTCACGTACTGAAGTCGTGGCTTCTTCGGTTGTACCAGCACAGTTGGCATCCCTGTCACCCAGGTCTCAGCATGGGAAAACCATTGGGCTGTTTCCTTCATGCCAGAATACTGGGTATCAGCAGTCACCACGTGGCGAAAGCACCTTCCTCAAACACTGCCAGGAAACTGCATTTGTAAACAGTGCAGTAACACAAACCCATCTCGCCTCACATTGGAACAGTTGGGTTTTGAGTGGTGAGTTGAGTCTGTTCATGAGTTCACCACAGAGATGAACTGGAGTTGATGGTTCTGTCTGCTCCCTTTTGCTCACTTCACCAATGTTGATGCCAGCTGAATTATGCTTAGTGTTGGCCTAAGAGAACAGAAATTGCCCTAAGCTTTTTATTTAGTGGTAAAGCGTTACATGATGCCCAGAGAGCTCCTTTCAGCACACCTCGTCTTTCCCTCTGCTGTATGCTTTATTGTGTAAGATTAAATTTATTGGACATAAAATTAGGCCAGCCAGTTGTTTGTGCCAAAGCACGAATTCTTGTGAGGAGAGAGGTCATCGTTATGTCTGTGTTTTGTGGCTGGTTTTAATTGAAGTTTTTAATTTCACAGTAATTGGGGAGCAAGACTTGGCCATTTGGCTCACTGCTTTGCCTCGTGTTTGTCTTTTTTGGCATGTTTTCTGAAAAGTAGCACAAATGCAGTGTTTGTTTTGTTGGCTTTAGAAAGATTGACTCGATCAACCTGCACTATGAAGTTACAACAGGGAGGACATTCCCATGGTTTTAAGGCACTGGTGGTCTGTGCCTTTCTGTTTTTATGCCAAGTTCTCCTCCTGCCCCATAAAAGCCCAAGAGGATGTTGAAAAATCCCATTTGTACCACGAACAAGGTGAGGCAGCAGAGCAGGAGCTTTGCCTCTGTGTGGTGCTGTCCTGCCTGTGTGATGGCTGCTCCTCTCTCTGGTTTCTCCTAGGGAGGTGTTCTCCAGCAGAAGAGGACTCTTCACTGCCCAGTGGTCTGTGGAACAAGGTTGTGTTTCTGGGCAGCACTGTGCCTCCAACCCACAGAGCAGCTTCCTCGAGACCCATCTTCCCAGCAGGTTCCTTTCTGCAAAGGGCTGTAGGGTGTGTGCAGCCATCTAAGCTCCTGCACTTGTTCTTCTGAAAATGGGAGAGGTCTGAGACAACTCTGTTCCCTCACCCATGCAGTCCTTGTTAAATCATCTGCACAAAAAGGCTCCGTTTGGTATTTGTACCAGCCTTCTCGACAGAGGAGCCCTTGGAGTTTTGTGCTTAAGGACCTGAGCTTGCAGACCTTGTGGTAGTAGCTGGGGCTACTGCCAGAAAATCTGTGGCTGCCCCATCCCTGGCAGTGTTCAAGGCTAGGTTGGATGGGGCTTGGAGCAACCTGCTCTAGTGGAAGGTGTCCCTGCCTGTGGCAGGGGGTTGGAACTGGATGAGCCTTAACATCCTCTCCAACCCAAACTGTTCTATGATTCTATGATAAGTATTTGTAAGCTCCACTAAAATAATGCTGAGGTACAAGTTACTGAACTTGACTGATTCATAGAATCATAGAATAGTTAGGGTTGGAAAGGACCTTAAGATCATCAAGTTCCAACCCCCCTGCCATGGGCAGGGACACCTCACGCTAAACCATCTCACCCAAGGCTCTGCCCAACCTGGTCTTGAACACTGCCAGGGATAGAGCATTCACAACTTCCCTGGGCAACCCATTCCAGTGCCTCCCCACCCTTACAGTAAAGAACTTCCTTATATCCAATCTAAACTTCCCCTGTTTAAATTTTAACTCGTTACCCCTTGTCCTATCACTACAGTCCCTAATGAAGGGACTGCTCCAACCCAGGTATAGGACCTTGCACTTGGCATGGCTAAACTTCATAAGGCTGGCATCAGCCCACCTCACAAGCATGTCAAGGTCCCTCTGGATGGCATCACTTCCTTCCAGTGTATCAACTGAACCACACAGCCTGGTGTCATTGGTAAACTTGCTGAGGGTGTACTCAATCCCACTGTCCATTGACCAAGTACAACTAACCTTGTGGGTAGGTATTGTCCTTCCATTCCTGGGTTTATACAGATTTTGCTCAGTGGGAGACTGGGACTCTGGAAATACTGAGAATGGTATCGAGATTAATAAGAAGTGGCAGGATGTGAACACCATATGGGAGCAGTTAATGACGTGCCCAGCCCAGCCAGCAAAGCCATTGCTGAGAACTGGCAAACCCAGACCTTCATCTTAATCCCATCACCTTGTATCTTGCAGCCACTCCCTTTGATGATTTTAAAAGGTGTATCTAATTCTTAGCTGGCCTTCACCAGAAAGGAATGCAGCACGATCGCAATTTTGGTGTGGTATAATTACCCTGCCTTTCTTGCCCCATTACCACTGACACTATCCTCCTCACACCTGGGTTTATAGGCTGACTTGTACAACCTCTCTGGTTTGTTTTGCTTTTGTAATGACACTGGGGAGAAGATGGGAGGTGTTTGCTGGTTTCGTGGAAGCTTCCTTTGGTTTCTGGGTGGCAAGGTACCAAAGTCCTGGGTTTTGTGAGAGTCGGAAAAAGCTGACTAATACAGTAAAGGAGAAAGTCTGGGAATAAGTTTGATGCAGTGGTGGGAGCCAAGGGTATGACAGTTTGGAGGAATTTGTCCTTTTTGGAATTACAGCAGTAAAACTGCGCTCCTGCTAAACAACTATTTGGGTTAGGTGGGTTTTTTTGACATTTGTATTGCTGCTGCAAGTCCTCAGGCAGAGACCCGGGAGACCAAACCCAACCTTGCATAAATTTGCCCTGGGTGGATGCCCCAGGTAGGGCTTGGCAGAGGACATGTTGCAAGGGGCTGCACAGCAGAGCAGATGTGCTTGCTGTCTTGCCATGTGGTTTCGGAGTGTCCCAAGAACAGATTCCCTTTATGTTGCATACGGAGTCTGAAGTGTGAGGTGCCATGTGCCTGTGGAAATGTTCATAAACCTGCCTCCACACTCACCTGTGGGAAAGACAGATGACAGTTACTCGTACAGACAGTGTGGGGTGAGTGTTTAGCACACTTGTATGCTTTCAGAGGCTAGTGCTGTCACCAATGTTGTGGATGGAGAAGGGAATCCAGGACCAGGAGCAGCACTCCCCTTTATTTCATGTGCCTTCTTTGCTTCTTGTTGCTCCCTGAGTTAATCTTGTCTGAGTCTTACCCTTAAAGTGTCAAGCTCTGGCTGTGTATGAATCTAGTGGAGAAGTCAGTTTTCTGGGCCTCTCAGTAACACAGATTGTCTGAACTGGTGTTTAAGGAGATGATCCTGGTGAGGGAGTTATTTGGTTGCACACAGAGCTGCTGCATTGTCCAGTGCACAGCACATGCGTATCAGAAGTACTTGTCTTGCAGATTGTTTACTGGAATCAGCGCTAGGAACCAAGGGCATGTACATAAAGGCATGTCAGATAAGGCAGTACCTGCTGGTTGAAGGCTGTTTGCTGTCAGGATCTTTCAACTCTTCCAGTGCTTTCTACAGAGATTCCATGTCCAAATGCATAGAGGCTGGTCTT